CAATAGCGAATTGTTTTTATATCAATTTTTTAATACTAGGATTTTATAACAAAATTTTATAACAAAATAGGCATTTTTTAAAGCTGAGTCAGCATTTTTTTATTATTTTATGAGCAAAATGAGAAGAAACTTGGGATACAATAATTTTAAAACAAGAAATGTATATAAGATGAAATTTGGTACAATGATAAATTACATATATATAAAGGGAATAAGCGAAAAAAAAAAAAATTTAGATACAGGCTTAAAAACTCATAATGGCGGTCAACACCATTATGAGTTTTTAAGCCTGTATCTAGATTACACTTTTCAAACCCTCTATATCTATATCTATATCAAATATACCTCTATATCAAACCCTCTATATATAAAATTTAAAAAATTAAAATAAATAAAGAAAATTATTTTTCGCTTAAGTTTTTTGCTTAAAAAAAAAAAGTAATTATTTTTCGCTCAGTTTCTAGGTATATGTTTGAAATAGGTTTACCTGAAAATTTCAAGTGATTAAGTTTAATATTTATTAAAATATGAGGTTTGAAAAACTTAAAATTGCATGAAAATCATATTTCGCAAAAAATGCAATTTATAAAACTTAAATACAAAAAAAATAATACAAATTCAAAATCCACCTGAATATAACTTTCCTTGGCTTTTTCTAGGTCAATATAACCCTTTTTAGCAGCCCTTATTTTTTTTCTTTTGATTTTTCCTTATTCATTCGTCTTTTTAGTGCTCTTATCAATACATTCTTTATTTCTCTTAACAGATAATTAATCAAAACAGTAACCGTTTGAAATTCCAAAATATTTTAAAACAGAACAAAATACACTCACTTAAAATTATTCTTGAAACTGTTATTATCTAGAAACAATATTTATTAAAAACAAAATAAAAAATATTGATAAAGCATAACAAACATAGCATTTGCAAACAAGCAAAATATATTTCTGTCAACCACACTAACATCACTTTCATTCACTTTTTTCTGTTCCATTACTTAATTCCGTGCACAATTGAGTAATTTACAGAACATAAAGTGCTTTCTAGAATCAGAGTAAAAAAAAAAAAAAAAAGACCACCTGTTTTTGTCAACTTGTCAAATATTTACACAAACAAAATGTGTTGCTAAGGCATTGTTATGGACATTTTTAATGTACCCATATTCTATAACCCTAATTTTTCATCTTTATACTTGAAAAGACCCATCAAATAATATATCATTGGAAAGAGTATAGAATGGCATTTAAAAAGTATATGTATTCACAATTTTTTTTTTTTTTTTCAAAATCATGTTTTTTTTTCTAGGGGAACCACCTTAAGACTTATCTGAAGGAACATTTTATTAAAGTTACGCAAAACGCTTTTACAAATTACTTCTAATTATTGTTTAATGAATTTTCAATTTAATGAAAAAATCAAAATTTAACTTGCCAATGGCAGAATACAACTAAGCCCCTAAAAAAGAAATGGTTTCAAAGATTTTAAATAAAACCCTAAAAACAATACCAAAGTAGACCTCAAACAAAAAAGAACGAAAAATATAATCTTAACCCACCAAAAAAAACCATAAAAGCAATTCTGAAAAATATAGGCAAAACATTCTAACAAAAACTTATGAACAATACGTTCAAAACACTTTCGAACAAAACATTCGATAAACACTTTAAAAAACCAAATCTTCTTCATAAACTATTTAACCGTAACACAACAAAAGTCAGCTACAGCTACACAAGCAACATAGCAAAAATTATAAAAGAACCACAACAATTATAAAGAATCACAACAATAAAAATTATTTCAATGAACCTAACGGCCATTATTAACAAAAAACTTAAACAATTATGCTTTCAAAATACCTATGGGATAGATAGGATAAGTTAAAAACAACACCAAATTTAATATGGTTGATCATAAAAAGCGCCCCTGCATGCAACAACATAATTAAAAAATGCCTATTATGCTTATATGATTTTTATAAAATAATAATTTTATTTTATAAAAATCCCAAAGAATTATTAAACAAAAAAAGTGAACTAATATTTAAGTGTTGCCATGAGAACAAATTTTTGATGGATAACCACAAGCCAAAAGATTAGATTTTTCTAACATTTTCATTTGTACAGAATTATTTTTCCACAAGAAAAAATCATACTTATTATATATGATTGCATTTAGCATGAAACTTATAGTTAAAAAAAATATGTAGTTTTATTTATAAAAAATATATAAAGCTCTATTTTAACTTAAATTATTTTAATTTACTTAAATTCATAGAGCAATCTCCTGAAGATATATGCAAGCAAATATATGTGTGTATATATCTTATACTGCTGAGTTAAGTGAGCATGATGATGTCATACTCACCTAACATCAAGTAGCCTGCTGCCGGGGGCTTCAGTACATACATCGACTGACAAATAGCCTGACTCGCAGTGGAGTGCTGCTACATCGACTGAGGGTTTGGTATGGGTCAGCAACTTTTTCATTCATTATTCTTCGTTTTCCCTCATTGTTTTCTAAAAACGCTCACTTAATTTAGGCTAGCAAAAAAAGTGAGCAATTGCACATATAAATATGCTATAGTAGATATATATATATACACCAAGAAAATAAAATAAAAATAATGATAACAATAGTTTCAAAGATGACATAATGATATGATATTTTTTGGTTAAACAAAGATTATATGACTTTCTTCCAGGTTTAAATGGTTCGGCCCTATCAATAATCTTCCACGTAAGAATAGGATTTTCAAATCCTATTTTTTTCATTAACCACATATATTTAAAAAGTTCTGTGGCATTAGCTTTACTTTTGTATTGAAAGGAGTTTTTATGTTTGTACCAGTGATGTTTAAAGGTGTGCTCCGTTAAACCAATATCATTTTAACCACTATCCTGCGGTAATTTACATTGCAGATGTAAATTATATTTTTACTAAGACACATACCTTGCAAAGAACAATGTGAAGGTTGCCAGCAGTTACACGTTGGAACAATTGTGTTGGAAACATTAGATAATACTTTTTTATTGTGTGAATTAATAATATTGGAGATGTTTGGAAGACAGCTATAACTGACTTTTAAATTATTCCTATTAAAAATTTTAAGAAACTTTTGCTTTTCAATTAGATTTAGAAAATTTTTTGCAATGCTGATTTTTACATTTTGTGAAAACGGAGGTTTAAACCAAATAACGTTTCATGATCTTGATTTTGGTTTTGATGAGGCGAGATTTGTTTGGAAAGTAACCTTTTCATTATACCCACTTGCAACTAACGAATCGTTATAAAACAATGCTGCTCTAATGAAAACTTTCTTGCTAGATAAAATATTGCTAATATGGTTAGATATCATAGTTGGTATGGATTTAATAATATTAGAGGGGTGGTTAGAATTTACATTAATGAATAATCGGTGATCACCTGGTTTTCTGTATGGTTGGAAAGTATTTTCTTACAGGTTGAAAGTAACATCGAGAAAGTTTCCAATTTTTAAGTTGGTTTGATGACAGATGAACAATGTTTTTAATTCCCTCAGATTGTGGTCCATTAATTCCATGAAAAAAACCACCAAAGGCCATCACTCTATATAATCCAACGGTTTGCAACCCATAGTCTTGACTTAAAGTAAAATTAGGATCACCAAGTTTTTTGACCCAGATACTATCGTGTTTAGTAAACAGTAATGGTTTTCTTGAGTTTTTAATAATATCTAATGTATTTTCTGAAATTCCTTTAAATTTTTTGGCGTGAATAAGTAAATTTTGAAGTAATTCTTTAGAGATAGAATGATAGAACTCTTCGATATCAAACTGGATGAAAAAACAGTTGGATTTGTCCTTAATATTGCAGAACCAATTTATTATGTCATCCATATTATGCCATTGGTTTACAAGGGTTGCTTTTCTCACTTGATTATTAATGTTTTCCAGTAAAATTTTACTAACCTTTCCAAGTTCTGGTTTAGATGGATTAATTAATCAACATTAACAATTGTTGGCAAAATCATCTTTGTGATCCTTTATTTTTATAAATGCGGTATTCATTGCAAGAAACTCCATTTTGTTGTCAATACTTAAGTCTTTAGCAATTACTTTAGCCACATTAATAATGTTATTATATTGCAAAATATCAGAACTTTTGTAAGCTCTGGTTATGTTTTCATTGAAAAGTTTGTAAGATTTTTCAAGTTCATAAATATTATGTGATTTATTTGCAAAAAGAAACATTTTTTCTGATGATTTAAATTTGCAAATGTCATTTTTATTTGTTTTTGAAACTGGTTGTAGGAATTAGTAAAAGAAATATTTTGCATCATTTTAAGTAGATTGTATTTTGAAATTTACTAGATCAGGATGTTGTGGTGGACATTTTCTCATTTTAAAATTGTAGAGGTAATCTTGTTCTTGGTTGAGACATTTTTCCTAAATTAGAGCTTTCCATCTCATAGGTTTGATCACTAATTCAACTTTTTCAATTAAGTATTTAAGACATAATTTCTTTGCTGGTATTGGTATGTTCTTCAATGAGTTGTTAAAGGAATGTTGTTCTATATTCCGAAATTGCTTATATAATTATTATTATTTAAAACCACCAATAATAATTAGAGTGCTCAAAAACAATGGAACATTAATATAACTGCCAGCAACCTTCACAATTTCCTTTGCAAGGTGTTTGTCCTAGTTTTGTTACAAATTTAATTGTATTTTATTATTATTCTAATATATACATATAATATATATATATATATATATATATATATATATATATATATATATATATATATATATATATATATATATATATATATATATATATATATATATATATATATATATATATATATATATATATATATATATATATATACATATATATAATATATATATATATCCTTTATTTTTATGTATATAAATACATACGAGGAGAAAGAGAGAAAGAGAGTATATATAGGTATTGATATCACACTCACACAAATATTTTATGAAAAAAAAAAGTACCTTAGTGTTTTTTATATCTTTTACTGCTAAAGCACCAGAAGCAAATAACTTTTTCACACCATTGTTCCAATGTAAAAACTCAGCTACAGAATCATCAGCAAACACAACAGCACCTGCAACTAAAGCTGCAAAAGCATCTAGTGAACTTTCATTAAACTTTTCCATCTTTTTAGTTTTTATAAAACATCAAATTAAAAAGAAAAAAAAAAGATAAGAAAAAAAAAGGGGAAGTATCAACATAAAAGAAGTATTGACAAATTTATTGAAAAAATTTAAGTGAACACTTGTAATAAATTTAAGTGAACACATATTAACTTAAATGCTGTTGGTTTGAACTGCAATGGCTTAAACCAACAGCAACAAACTAACTCCAAAAAAAAAAAATTATTACTTTGAAAACAATTTTTTTACTTGGAACTTTAAAATTAATTAGGAACTTTAAAATTAATTAATAACTTTTATAGTTTTGAAGGAAACCAATACTAATGGTAATATTAACTTTAATATTAATTTAGTAGCAACTTATTTACAACATTTACTTATTAGAAATGTTAAATTAAGAGTTTATTCAAACATTATTAAAAAATCTCAATAACATACTAAATAGAACAACTGAAAATTGCAAACAAAAACACTGTACAAATATCGCAAATGCAAACAAAAACTGAAAATCTAATCTGAAAATTAAAATAAAAACTTAAAAAAAATGACATATAATTTTTACTATTAATGGGTTGAAGAAGAAAATGAAAGAAAGTAGTGCAACCCAAAATAAAAATTCTACGAGTTAAAAAAAAATTTAATAAAAAAATATTTAATATACAAATACTTTTGAAAAATTTACAAAACAATTATTTTTTTACAGAAAAATATATAATGAGCCCAATTACTAATGCAAATACTAATAATATAACAAGTAAGCAACATTTTTTTTTTCGTGCTGATTTTTGGTAGTTTTTTGCCTTCTCAAGTTGAGCATTGCCAGTTTCAACTTGAATGGCAGCTGTTGCAACATTGGCTTCAATACTATCTATAAATAAAACAAATTTTAAAGAAAAAATTAACAAAAAAAAAGAATTAACAAAATAAAGAAAAATGTTTAATTTTTTCAATTAAAAATTAGAAAATTAAAAAAAATTTTTTTTTAATCAATTCAACTTCCTAAAAGTCAGAAAGGCAACACTGGAGCATTATAGAAGACTAGGAACACGGCAGTGTTGTAGAATAATTGTTTTTGTATAGAAAAATGATCTTGCTACTGCTGCACTGACTTTAATCTATTGTAGAACTATTATTACTTGCATAATTTAGTAAACACAAACTGTGATTAAGCAATAAACTTTCCACTAGAATATTTTGGCTGAACCAAGTTAAAAGGTTAGATATTTTTTAACAAACATAAAAGATAAAGATTGCAACTTTATGCAATTTAACAATAGACACACTCACCATTACAACTAAGATTTTGGGAAACTAATAATTACAACTAAGATTTTGGAAACAACGGAGCAATTAACTATAGCATATAAATAAAATAAACTCTACAGTTTAATAAGCCACGATTTTGAAAGTTTAAAAGGCAAAAAACATTTGGCTTTCTGTTCATGGAACAACAAAAAAAAATCATCCCATGAACAAAAATGTATAACTAAAACTTAAAAACATTTTTTTTTTTTTTTACTAATCATAAACAAAACACAGACTTTGTTTATGAAATGTGTTATTAAAGTTAAGATCATTAACAAGATAAAGACAAGTGTTTGATGACTTGTTAATTATAACAACAACAAAATTCTATTGTTCTATAAATTATAATTACTAAAGGTATAAAAGGTTTGCTTGGCAATTTAAAAATCAACCAATAAAAAATCATATTAAAACTATTTGTGCACTGTATGAAACATTAAAATTGATTTTCGTTTAGGAGGAAATTTTTTTTGAGCAATTATTTATTTTAAAAAATTTTAATGATTCAAATTAGAAATAAATTAACTGATAATAAAAATAATCAGGGATGCGGAGTTCCAAAAAGGACTACTGATTTGAAAGTCACAAAAAGATTACTTTATCCTAATTTTTGGTATCCAGGAGCTCTAAAAATATAAATAAGTTTATGGATTACTAATAGGAAAAAAAATAAGATTTTTAGTTTAGAAGAACAATCATTTTTTGAAGCCGGAATCCTTAGGTATAATGGCGGAAAGGACTCCAGGACTCCGGGCTTAAAAACAATAAGTTTCAAGTCATTAAATCTCATGAATTTTTTTATTATAGCAATTCATAAGTCAACAAGCATGTTAAGAGCTTATAGACACTACAGACTTGGAAAAAGTAGAGATATAAAGCCAGAGTCCTTTTGGGACTCCGCATCCCTGAAAATAATAATAAAAAATATATTTTTAAATAAGCTATTGTTTTTTTTTTTTTGTTTTAAAATAACTATAAAAAGCTTAAATTAGTTTTTATATATTTTTAAACTCCTCTGTCTTAAATTTTCTATACATATCTACTAAAGAATTTCAAGCATTTAATTTATAAGAAATTATTGGTTTTTATTTCTCTAAATATAGGACAGCATTGCATAGTTGAAATGTTTGAGATGAATGCCAGAACTTTGTCATCTATTATACTCAAGATAAATAAAAAGCTCACTATAAAAAATTTGCCATTTGGCAAATCTATTCTAATAGGGTTCAAAAATGAAATTTCTTTTTCTTTATCTTGTTTGATTTCAAGGATAATTCCATTGTTTTTTTATAAATTTTGTGTAGATAGATCAACAAAATTTTACACTTTGATGTGTTTAAAGCTACATTATTTTTTTTGTGTCAACTGCTATGGTGTTGTTAATAATGTTATTAAATTTGAGTCAATATCATTGTCCATTTTCTAATAATATTTGAAGTTTCAGGAAGCTTCATCTAGTCCTTATGAACTCAATAAAATTATATGTTCAAAACTGTTGTTGTTTTCTTTCAAATGCTTTAAAATAGTATTTTGAATCAAATCAATTAATTTTTCAGCTGTTTTCATTATGAGAGCTTTTAATTTTGCTCAAAAATTCTTGTTGTAGTTATGTAATTAGTGGACATTTTTTTTTTTATCGTTTAGTGAACAGCATTTCTTTATAATCATTTAGTGGACAGCATTTGTTTTTAATCATTAAGTGGACAACATTTTTTTAAATCATTTAGTGGACAGCATTTTTTTTAATCATTTAGTGGACGACATTTTTTTAAATCATTTAGTGGACAACATTTTTTTAAATCATTTAGTGGACAGCATTTTTTTTTAAATCATTTAGTGGACAGCATTTTTTTTTCTAGTTATTTTAATAGCCTTAGGAATCTAGAAGGTGCTGCACATGTGTGTGTTGTGATAATTTTATGCTCTTCATTTTTTTATAAGTAATTAAATCTTTTCTAGAATTAACTTGGTAATCAGCAATTCGTCATTTACTTCTATTACTCAATTCAGCAAATTTCTTAGATGAACATCGTAGATTATGGAATGTTTGATACTTTTATTCCTGTTCAGTGTTGAATAAACTTCATGACATCTAGGAGATGCTTCAAATTTCTTTTTTTAAATATTTTTCTATGACTAGACTATGCAGTTTTCTTACAGTAAGCGCAAAAATGATTTTCAAAAAATTTTATGTAAATTTATATGTGATAACTACCTATAAATCTCTCAAAAATTGTCATTAAAAGAATAAACCATGCAATCATCATAAAATACTTTAAAGCTTTCCATAATAGCATCACAGAATGATATACAGACTATACTGTTCTGTCATTTATTAAATAATGCTTTACAAAAAAATTTCATTGACCTGGGAAAAAAATGCAAACAAAATTTTTGTTTCCCTAGATCAAATGCAAGGGCACTGAAATAATAAGATGTTTAAATTTATTAACTTACACTAAATTCATTGACAGGTTTCAAATTTTATATAGTTATCTATTAGTGTTAAAAATTATGACCAAGAAAAGTTTCTACTCCCCCTTCAAAATTTCACATGGTCATAACTTTTGAATGCTTTAATATAAATAGATGAAATTTAAAACCATTTGAAGAATTTAAATTTAGTATAAGATAAAGCAAACTAAAATATCTTATCAACTCATTTGTGCTGCATTTAGGGTGGGAAATCTGTTGGAGTATTTTTGTTCCTAGACTCTAATCACAGCTTTTTTTCAAAATATTCTTATTTGACATAATTTAACTTAAATTTTGAGTTTTCACAATGCTTATCTGAAATGCAATATCTAAAACATCAAGATATCCTGGATCCACCAAAGACTCTAGTAGCAGAAAATCAATTATTTCATAAAGTGAAAAAAAAACTTTCACTGAATTTTCTTAGAGCATATTTAGCATCAATAAATGCTGAGACCCACTTATAGGTAATTGTATACCAGTTTTTCAGCTCCTTTAAAGTTGAAATAATATACTTGTTTGCTATATTTGCAATATTTTTAAATATTTATCAACTTATATATCTCTGGGAATATATCAAAAGTATTTCCCTATAAATTGGTCTTTTAAATATCTCATAACTGATGTTTTTAAAATTTTTGATAGTTTAAGATAATCATGTCTTCAAATAACTATAATATTTATTGAAACAAAATATACCACTAATTAGTACCAAATGAAGTTATGCAAGAAGTGGTAAATAGGGATTGTAAATTTACTGACTTTTTGATTTACCGGTAATTCTGTAAATGAAAATTATAATACTGTATAAATGTAAACTTTATATATCAATAAATCAATACAACTTTTATAAAATATTATTTTTCAAAAAGTAGCTTCGTAGAAAGCTAAAACTATCCAATGTCTTGTCTCCTAATCATGAGCTAATTTTAATACAAATTAGTCCAGTTCCTGAAAATACTCTTTCAGGTTCAACAATGGTCATTAAATAGTCAAAAATTATTTAAATGTACTTCCCTCATATATTTTCTTGTCAAAAGTACTCCAACTCTTTTTTTTATAAATTCTTTTAGACCTTTTGTGTAACTTTTTTTTAAAACAGTTCGTTATTCTTTAAAAACAGTTTGTTATTCTTGTCTGTTTTTAAAGAAAAAGATGAAGTTTTTCTTTCATAGAAAAATCAGCATTTTGTTTAACAGTAATGAGGTCGTTATTTAAATCCGAATCTGATTTATTTTTGTATCTTTGAAAACTCTCACCAGATTCCGCATTATATATAAAACAATAGTCAACAATAGTTTTAATAATTACGGCTTTACTGCTGATATTAAAAATGCCATAATTGTCTTTGACAGAAATAATATCATTAGGGTCTGTTATATAGTGTTACACGTCTGAAATTATCATTCTTCTTTCTTTAATACAACTTATTCATTTTTAGTGCAATACTTAAAAAAGTGTTTTGGTTACTTAACTTGTCTAACATAAACTTTAATGTAAGATTGTCTACATGTAAATTAACCTTTTCAGTGCAGAGTGTTTCAATGGCCAACCTAATACGTTGCAAGCTTGATATTATATTTGAAAGTAATTTTACTTCATTTTCATCAAAATCAATGTCAACTTTTATTTTTTTTAAACTTTACTTTTATTAAAATCATTAAAATCATTTTAATTTCATTAAAATCAATATCAATTTTCAAATCTATCAGACTTTTTCGAACAGCATCTTAACTTTTAAAAATCTTTCCAGCATGCTTAATAAACTAATCCATCTAGTTTTACAGTCTAAAATTAAAGAAAGTTCTTTTCCAACAGTTTCTTTAACGTATTTTTGCAGTAGTTTATCATTTTTGTTTGGTGATTTTCTAAAAAGTTTTACAACTTTTCAAATATTTGTAATTAAAGAATTTAGCTCTGCGTTTTGCAGAACAAGTTGGGTAGTGTCGATATCTTCGTAGTCTACTTCAAAATTTTCAAGTTCAATTTCCAAATAATCAGAATCAACATTAAGTAATACATTATTATCATATTCATTAACATCTTGTACATCTGTTGAACTAATATTATAAAGCACTTTTTGATTGC